CCCCCCGCCCGTATGACATTGAATAAAGCGCTGTCAAAATAGTTTCACGCAGTTATTTTATTTATTAACATTATTATTAACATTAGCATATATTCAACTGGATTTGCAATTGTCATTATTGTTGCAGAGTAAGCATACCTTGTTTTGGTATGCTATTCTTATTTGGTATGCGATTCTTTTGGTATCAGAATTCATGATATTAACTGTTTTTATATTATCTTTCTCGCAATGAAGCTCGCACAAATTGAACATTTTCTTTAGAGTTGGATCAAGATGTAGATATTTTTCTATTATATATATATATATAATAATAATAACAAATAATAAAATAACTATATATATATATAGTTATTTTATTCTAAAAAATATTCGTTTTTCTCCTCTTCGTAATTTCTTGCGCAAGCTTTTCGACAATGGCAGTCTTCGTTTCGAAATACCTTCGCGGGTGTAATGTTTTCAGTTTTGAGTATAATATCTTTCCCTGAATTCTGTTTAATTTTTCGTACTTTCTGGATATATGACATATGATATTTAGGTATCCCAAAAATATCTCCCAGTCCGAAAGTAGGGGATTCCCGAGGTCATTTGAAGCAATTTTGCAGTTATCCATAATAATGTTTCAAGCTCATTTAAGTCTATTTTATAACCACTCGAGTCAATTTGTAATATGACCCTAGGTCTACATATCAGTTCCGCATTGTTCCCGGCTACGCTGAACAACTGAAAATATCAACAAACTTTAGGATCTGATACGCTCCTCCTCAAGGATAGATTTTGCTCTTAAAACATCCATTTCAGTAAAAGTAGTTTATACCGCCGGAAAGTAGAAATCTCAAGTAGTAAAACGGTACGCGGTTCGTTAAATTTCAACAATCATTAACGAAGTTATGCGAGTTTAAAGATCGTGCTACTTTTAAGGTAGTCGTGACCGCGCTTTCGGGTCTAGGTTGTATACCTCACTGTGGCGACGTGCCAGAAAAATCCTCGAGTTGATATAGGTGAGATCACGATTCCGGCTTCTGCTATCTACCTCATATCTCCGGTATCGTAAACCAGTTGAATTACTTTCAGCGATCGCATAGCAGTCCGATATACAACAAGCGTGTAGAAGGCGCGGTTGCACAGGTAATCTGCCGCTGTTATTCCTGTTTACTCGCTGACAAGTGGAACCGTAATTGGACAACGTTTCTTCCGGTTCCAAATGCCAATATCGAATGTCGCACAGTCACGACGATCACCGCGATCCAACATCTTCGAATTGCCAAGTAAATCACTTTTTTTCTATTTCTCTATTTAACGTATTGCGAGGGTGCTGCCGTCTGCGCTCTTCGCCAGATGGATTCTCCTTTTCCGCAATTAAACTTCCGACCTAAACGTCCGACCTTCCAACATCCCAGCGTCCAAGACAGCACCGGAAAGGCCTTACCGATGAGTGCTCTAGCGGGACCCAGACGAAACGCTTCTCTTTCTTTCCCTCCATATTCCACGATCACGGCAGTACATAACCTCCACGATATCAAAGAAATTCCCAGAGCTACAAAGATGCATTTTTCGAAATCTATTTTTCAGAAGAACTGTCCCATGGGAACTAAATTGCTGTACGAACAGCTTCTGGATTGTCTGCGGTCAAGGAAACATCGTACTCGAGCAATATCGAAAAGCGGCATAAACGTAAACAACGCGTCCTCCGGCGAGTTAGGGGACAGCTTCCTAAATGTATTGCCTGTACGGAAGGTATCTTGAGGTTCGTTCAGAATCCGAAGTGAACCGACGTGAATAGGATCGACGAGGATGCGCAACAACGAGAATGTTCGTCGGGTGCGTCAGATATTGAAAGCTAATAAGGGAGAACTTCCATGAATACCAACACGTTTCGAATAATATACCGTCATGATATACTTGTATAAAGTACAATTACTTTTATTTATTACATTCGAGCAAGTATATCTTCAAGAATGTTGGCGTACAATCGGATAATCTTCTTTTACCGTAGTAATAGAACAAGTTAAAGTTTTAATGTTGATTAACGAGTTTATGAATGGGACACATGGCATATGCTTTCTTTGTTTAAATTGAGAAATTAGGAAATTATTGTCAATGATTTTTTCGATTTCTTTTCATTAAGATAATAATTTTCTGTCATTAAATACGAAAACGTGATGTTAACCCAAAGATGCAAAGAAAATTATTGAATTTATAATATTATATTATAATATATCATAATAAAGTGATATTAGTATTAAATAACTGCTGTTTTCTCAGTCATTGTAAGTGCATGTAATATTATAAATATATTATATATTATATTATAGTATATCATATAAATAACTGCTGCTTTCTCATTTATTGTAAGTACAATATATTATATTATATATTATTATATATAATATATATAATATAATGAATGAGTAAAAGCAGCAGTTATTTAATACTAAAATTAAATATAACAACTAATACAAAAGTTAAGAATAAAGCAAGTAAACGTAGCAAAAGCTCGTTGAGTATATTTACAGTAAAAGAACTCATCTTTCGAATGTTTCAAACCAGAATTAAGTAGGTGACCCATTCATGACTTACATTGAACGCTTGAGAATTCTACCAAAGATAAGTCGTGATCGACAGGTGTTGCTGGAGAATCCTATGGATAATCTCAATCAGCAGGCAACCTCTCAAAACGATCTGCACGTAGCGGTGAGTAAGAACGACCTAATATCGGCGGAACTGCTCCTGAAGAAGGGGGCTAGCCCGAACGTGGTTAACAGCAATGGTCTGACCCCGCTTCACATGGCCGCTATGATGAAGCACAGAGCAATGGTGGAATTGATCTTCGACAATGCGGCACACGCCCCGAACCTGGATAGCTGCAGGGATTACAACAAAGAGACTACGAGGGACGTTTTAAAGAGGTTGCTACCGGACCTTATGTACCAACTGATCGCGAACGACGAGAAGGGTTTCCTAGAGTGTCTAAAAAAGACTTCGAATAACGTGGAGATCGATGCTGGGAAGCTGATCGCGATGGCCACTCGGCGAAACTTTGAGAACGCGATCGCCGAATTGTTGAAGAGACGACCGGACGATTGCAACTTGGAGAAGGCCACGACCATAGCTGTACAGAAGAACTCGCCACATATTCTCCGTCTGCTACTGAACAACTTCGCCGACATGAACGTCGAGGCTGCGAACAGGTTGCTATTCACCGTTTGCATCGACCTTGGGATCCCCGGTAGCGGTGGCTCGCAGGACACGTTGAATCGCCTCGAATGCCTCAGATTAATCCTCGAGGGGGACAAAGTGAACGTTCGTTGCACCGACAGTAAAGATAATCATTTACAGTTTCCCCGAATCTTGCGCATTAGTACGTACCGATGACGACGACGTAGAACGTATTACTTTGTTTCAGAGAAAGGAAACACTCCTCTGCACTATGCGGCCAGAGCGGACAGTCGCGAAGCGGTGACGATGCTGCTGGCTAAGGGAAGCTACATTGGACACACGAACGCGTACGGCACGCCAGCAGTTGCCGACATATCCGCGTCCACACTGTCTCAATACTTCGACAACTCCATCCAAGCCAAAAGAGAACAGACAAACGGGTGCATAATCGAGTTCGACTACAAATGTTTGAACCCTTATGATCCAAATCTGATACGACAGAAACCAGAGATGGACCCCTTCAAGTACATCGCCGGCAACACCGGTTTGAAACATCTGCTGAAGCATCCCCTGCTCTCCTCGTTCATCTATCTGAAATGGCAGAGAATACGTATAATTCTCCGTGCGAGCTTCGCGTTCCATTTGCTTCACTATGTTCTACTGAACGTCTATATCATTGGCGCAGCGAGAATGAGAACGTTCAGCAAATATAACGATCAGACGGACGAAGCAGTGTTAGTAGCACCAGCCGCCGTTGATACTTTCCGAATGCTTGCCACCGTCATCCTGGCAATCTTTGCATTTTGGAAGCTGCTCCATGTGGTCACGTGGCCGCGCTGTTTCGTATCGAATTTTAGGAACTGGACCGAACTGCTGTTGGTGATCCTTGAGTTCCTTGTGCTATACGACGTGGGCCCCGTTAGCATGGCTGCTTCGGTGACACTGTTGTCCGCTTGGCACCTGGTGGTCATGATGGGCCAGTACTCCTGGCTGTCCACGGACATTGAAATATTGAAGACGGTATCCTGGAACTTCCTGCGGTTCCTGGCCGTCTACGCGCTCCTCATCCTCGCGTTCGCGGTAGCCTTCTTCGTCCTGTTCCATCAGAACAGGAATTTCGTGAACCTCGGTCGGTCGATGTTCAAGACGATTATCATGCTCACCGGCGAATTCGATGCAAACGAAATGCCATTCGAATCTTATCCGTTCATGAGCCATCTGGTTTTCGTATTGTTCGTCTTTCTGATCGTCATAGTGCTGCTCAATCTTTTAAATGGCCTGGCGGTGAACGACATAACCGATATTCTCTGCAAGGCCGAGCTGGTTGGCCTGATTTCCCGGATCGGCTTGATCTCTTACGTTGAAAACATTGTGATTGGCAGAAACCACGGTCACGCATCCCTGTGGGATTACTGTCTTTGCAACTGGCGGCTTATGATTCCCACTTCCCTGGTGAACCAGGTCCTTGTGTTCCCGAAGCATTTAAAGGAAAGTAAGCTCAGCGTCGAGCTTTACGACAGCTCCGAAATGGACTCCGGTATTATTAAAAAAGCTAAGGAGGTTCTATCAAGGAGAGATCGGGAATCAGACACTGAAAGGATTATCAGTGAATTGGACAAAGTAAAAGAAAGTCTGGCTTCGATGGATGTTTCGCTGAATGCCCTCAGGCAGGGCCTCGGCAATAACAATGTTAAATGTTAGAAGAAATCATTCTTCTATCGAGCAATATTTTGTCTGTAATTGGTAGAGAGAGAAAGAGAGAGAGAACGAAACACATATTGAAAAGAAACTACCTGTAAATGCGGCGGCCAGCATACTGATGTACATTACGATGAATACATTGTAATGCTAGAATAAAAATGATGACTTAATTTTTTATTTCTAATTTTTTTTGCATGAAAATATTTTTCATATATTGGTCAGATTTTTCCAATTAAAATGATACCAAACACGACATGCTTTAAGCCATATACGTAGCAAGTAACTTATTTTATTTCATTACACAAATTGTAATTCGACATGCTTTAAGCCATATACGTAGCAAGTAACTTATTTTATTTCATTACACAAATTGTAATTATAACAAAGATAGCATTAGAAAAATATTAAAGGCAACGTCAAATATACAGGGTGTTCCATAACTATTTTAATAGCCGAAAATTGGGAATACTTGAGGTCATTTGAAGTAACTTTCTCCTTTGTTAACGAAAAACAGTGACCAACGCGAGGCGAGCGCGCGAATTACAAGGTTATGTCGACGATCGAGTGCAACGTGTTTCGACCGTGGAGCGTGACAGAAGAAGGGGAGCTCCGAGCTGCGTTCGAATCAATGAACAAGTCACGGAGCGTGAATTTCCGAATTTCTTTTACTACGTGACATTGATAATTTTAAGAAAAAACGCTATTCATTCTTATTTCAGAATGTCTGAAGAATATTTAATAATTTTTCGAACTCGAAATAATAAGTAATTCAACCGTGACAGCCGTTTTAATTTTCTGGTTCAAACGCGCTGCATTAATATGTATACAGCGTGTCCCAAAATTATTGTATTTCCTGGAACTAATAACTCGTTAACGATGCCTCGGAGAACATGTTTGTAAAGGAAAAAGTTACTTCAAATGATCTCAGGAACCCTCTATTTCCGGTTTGCGAGACACTTTTGGGAAATCCTGTAGAATTGTGAGTAAAAACTGCATTAACTCTATTTACATGTATTTTATTTTGAATTATTGTAGATCTATCTACGTCAAATAGAAAATTCGTACAAAATTAAGTAACATTTCGTTCAGTTGCCTAATTAATTCCATAAGTTACATTTATGTCGTGGGTTCATGGGACTGTTTCGCTTACATTGGAAAGCTTCAGAGAAGGCGGCCATGTTCGAGAGAGATCCAATAATTCGATATCTTGGAGGACTATGTTCATCACTGTTGACTATGTCTGCTTCGTATTCTGGCCTCACGTAATGACACCAGGCCTATAAAATTAAATTTTGGCAATTGATCGAAGAACATTTATATACGATATTACTGAAAAATACTCGTTGACACTGAACCGTATATATTACGAGTGAATGGACAGTTCCTTTGAAGCTTCAAAATTTTATTATAATATTAATATTTAATCTAATATTATTATATAATAATATTACATTAAATATTATTATATAATAATTATATTAATATAATAATTGTAATTAATATTTAATGTAATATTATTATATAATGATATTTAGTCTAATATTATTATATAATAATATTTAGTCTAATATTATTATATAATGATATTTAATGTAATATTATTATATAATAATATTTAATCTAATATTTAAAACTGTTATATTTTTTACGTAAATAAGTTTT